AGTGTATTGAGCCCTGGCTGGTTTGGCTCAGTGGTTCGAGTGTTGGCTCATGGACCGAAGAGTCTCAGGTTCGATTCTGGTCAAGGGCACGTACCTCGGTTGTGGTTCGATCTGTGGCTCTGGCCGGGGTCGTGCAGGAGGCAGCCAGTCGATAATGTCTCTCTCACATCGATGTTTCTCTCTCTCTCTCTCTCCCCCCCTCCCTCCCACTATCTGAAAATCAATGGAAAAATATCCTCGGGTTTGCTAAAACTGTCCCAAGTTAGGAATCCGTTTACTGAGAACGTTTGTGTCTGTGTGAGGGCCACGGGCCACGGCTTCCACGTCACCCTTCGTCCCTCAGTGCCTGGGTGAGCAGTGTTGGCGGAATTCACCCGTGGGCTGGAGTTCTCTCTGTGAGAAGACCCTCAGCTGCATGTTCAGCTCTTAGGGAAGTTGTCCGTCTGCTTTAGGGGCAGCGTTGGCCACCTCCGAGCGGTTGCCAGCTGCAAGCTTTACCTTGCTGGTGCGGGACAGCTTCGAATTCCGCGGATGTTATTGAGCCGCGTTCCGGGACACACAGAAGGGACTCGGAGACAGTCTGATCCCGTAAGCTTTGCGAGGTGGGCCTGGAGCAGTGCTCATTCTGGGGCTCACGGGTCCCCACAATTCAGCAGGGCCCGAGTCCACGGAGTTCAGAGGGCGCCGGCGGCTGCCCGCCTGTGTCTGCAGGCCTGGTGCTCTCCCCTCTGCTGCGCCAGCCGGTGAATTGCGCCCCATAGTCTCCCAGATCGGCAGCTCCATCGCCCCTCCTCTGGGTCCACCGGGCACGCCCGGGTTCCCTCCCTGGGCATGGAGCAGGGCGGTCAGGTCCCATTCCTTGGGACCCTGTGCTTCGCTGCCTGGCCAGTGCCTTGAAAACTGCTCTCTCCTGGGTGTTGGTGGGTTGGGGGAGGGTTGGAGAGGGGTCCCTGTGGCTCCATCTTGGCCAGAAGCAGAAGTCGGTTTCAATTCATCTCCCACTCCACCCTCCAGACTCCCAATTCAGCTCCGCAGCGGGGAGGAGAAAACCCTCTGAGTAGCCGTCACCTCCATCTCCTTCAATGCTGTGGTCACCTGGCTTTTCGGTCTCATCTGCGCCACTGAGTGCTGGCTCTCTGCCGGGAGAAACAGGGCTGGACTCCGCCCAGCTGCTCCCACTCAGCCTAGACCGGTGTCCAGGTCGTGGAGGCCAGGGCCACAGCATCAGGAGTGGACGTCACCGCTGAGCCGGGCATAAAGCCCGTGCCCTGCCGGCCGCCCTCTGACTGTGGCCCTGGGTCCTGGCTCTCCCGCCCCGTGTCTGCTGTGGCCTAGACCCACCTGGACACACCCTCCTGGCCGGCCCCTCTCCAGCTGCCCCAGGCTGGTCTCCAGGGTGTGGAGCACCTGCCTGGCCTGTGCAGTCCTGGCTCTGGGCCCTCCTGTAAGGCGGGTAGGGGTTACCTGGCCCCTCCTGTAAGGCGGGAGGGTCCACAGACTAGGGAAGCTGTTGTCAGGGAGAGGGCAGGTCGTGAAACTGGGGGGCCGTCTTCGTCAGGTCAGTGTGATGGGCAGTGATCCGTGTGGCCAGACAAGACCAAGCGGAACGTCCCCTGTACCCCACGCGCTGCAGTGTCCCAGGGTCCCAGCGAGATTCCACTGGGTAGGTGGAGAGTGTGACACCCCGTCCGGAGCTCATCATGTTCGAGAAGAACGTCTGGACTGACATGGAAAATGTGTCCACTGTCTCAAGGACCCAGACATGCAGGCACCACACAGCCGCCACAGAGGGACGGGCCCTGAAGGCCACGGGGTGGCGTGAGACATGGGCCGGTCTCAGCAGAACCTGCCCAGGGTGGCAGCTGGGTCCGTCCAGTGTCCTGAAGGAATGTCGGGGGGTGCCTCAGCCCACTGGCGATCGTGACCCTTGTGGGCGCTTCCTGCCCGGGGAGACGTCCTCGGAGTCTGGGGGGCAGGAGAGGGACACGTCGTGACCAGGTCCTGTGTTGCGATGGAATCAGTACGTGTGTATTTGTGATGCCCAAGAATTGCCCTGTGAGAGGCTTGGCTCGGCCAAGTCGTCGCTCTAGCAGAAGTTACTCAGACTTGGTATTTTAGGGTGAAATCCGACGGACCTTATGGACGGTGTTAGAAAATTTAAGAGAAATTTTGGGAAGACCTATGTACAAGGTTAGTTGTCTGTCCCGTACCTAAGAGGGCTTGGTTCATTCAGACCGAGTTTGCGAGGACGTGGAATGCGTGCGTGTGTGAACGCAGTCTGAAATACCCGAGGTGGGCAGACACGGAGACGTTTCGCGGAAGATGTGCAGAGCCGCCAGGGACAGTGACTGAAACCCCGGCGAGACGCCACGTGCCACCCAAGCGGCGACAGCCCCAAGTGCCAAGTGCCGGCGAGGCCGCAGGGAACAGGACCCTCGTGTGTCGCCAGTGGGAACGAACCATGGCACAGACATCCGGAGGCCCCGTGACGGGCCCTGGAAACACGGGATACGCACTCACCACGTGGCCCAGCAGCCACGGGCCTGGGTGGCCCTCCACAGCAGTGAGCTCTCATGCCCCACAGAGGCCTGTCCACGGCTCACGGTAACTTTGTTCACAAAGCCCCAGCTGGGCAGTTCCACCGTGGAGGGGCTCAGCCACACCGTGGACAGTGCCAGCAGCGGCTGGCGGCGACATCCAGGGCATCTGCTGGGGAAAACCGTTTCGGAGGGTCACATGCCGTGCGAGTCCGCTTGTCTCTGTTCCTGGGACAAGCCGATGGAGGCCCACAGCGCGTGTGCGGGTTGGGATGGGGGCCCTGGAAGGGTCCCAGGAGGGGTCCCGTGAGTGGGACTCTGCATCTGACTCAGGTGGCCCAGGAATCACACATGAGATATGACGATGAGCACACTGTGCTGATGCCACCATTTTAAGAAGTTGTCACTGACGGGGGACTGGGGTCCGCGGGCCCAGCATCCTGGTGCCCGTCTGCCTCCGTGTGCTGTCTCCTCGTGCGCTTGTTCCTGTGCCCTGGCTATCTGTGCAGAGGGATGACCGCCCCTGGGTGACCCCCAGCTTCAGAAAGAGGGGAGCCCCACAGGGCTGCCAGAGGAGCCCAGGCCAGCTGCGGGGACCAGATGGCACCAGAGGAGCTGAGCCTGGCAAAACAACCTGCCCCTCGGGGGCTCCTGGGCACCTGGGGGCCTTTCTGTTTCATCACCTGAGCAAGGCGGCCCCGGGGGAGGAGCTGAGCCTGAGCGAGGGCCCCTTGCTTCCTGCTCCCCAATCATGTGCCTTCGTTTGGGGGGCTGCTCTTCCAGGGAAGGTGCCTCTCTGTCCACACAGCTGTGGGGGCGTGGACAGGCTCAGGACCGCCCCTGGGAGCCCCCACCCCCACCCCTGCGGGGAGGAGCAGGTGAAGGTTGTTAGCTCTTCCCTGCTGGCAGATGCTGGGGGGAAGGGGGGGGCGCCCCAATTATCAGATAGTTCTCGCTCAGGTCAGAGGGTGGTTTCCACTGCTGTGCTCACCCCCAACTCCGCCAGGCCAGGCCCGTTGCCAGGGTGGCTGCAGGGCCAGCTCAGTCCTCCGGTCCTCCTGGGCCCTTGCCTTCTGGGGCGGAGATGGAGACGGGTCAGTCACCACAGGGACCTGCAGCAGGACCCCAGCACACGGCAGGGTGCCCAGGTCTCCGGGACGGGGCTGGGGCACCCTGACCCTCAGGAGCCGAGGGTCACCTGGTGAACTATGAGAAGAGGCGTGACCGGGCCTGGGCCCCAAGTGCATGTTGGCCTCGCCGGAACCTTCTCCAGGAGCCTAGCCTCCGTGGCGGGCTGTCACTGGGGCTCAGACAGTGTCCGACTGGGGCCCGGTGACCTCAACCCTCCACCTCCCGGTCTTGCCCTGCGGTCTACCATGGGGCAGCGGTGGGAACCCCCTCCCCACAGAGCACGGGGCGGATTCAGGGCTGTCGTCCCTCGTAATTCTCCAGCCGGCCTGCAGGTGGCGCCCCTGTCCAGCGGGCATCGGGCCTGGACGGCCGGTGCCGCCCGCGCCTGCTGCCCCAGGCCATTCTGACCTCGGGAGGAAGTGTGGGCCTGGACCCTCTCCCCGGTGCTGAACTGGGGGCCCCCAGAATCTGAATGGTGTGCCCCCCATAGAGAAATGTGCCCATGCTCGGGGTTGGCACTGAGACAGCTCCTTCCCTGGAGGAAAGGGACCCGCCTTCGACCTGTGCACCCAAATGCCCCACTTGCCCTGGCCGGTGTGGCCGGTTGGTTGGAGCTTTGTCCCATGCACCACATGGTCATGGGTTCAATTTCCGGGCAGGACACACACCTGGGTTGTGGGTTTGATCCTCGGAGGCAGACACGTTGATGTGTGTCTCTCATGTTGTTGTTTTTTCTCCCCCTCTCTCTCTAAAATAAAAAATAAATAAATAAAAGCCCCCAATCACGGCTTCCCAGGGTCCCCCAAAGCCTCACCAGCACCTCAGAGGAAACGTCGGACAAGCAGCTGGACTCCCTCATGTTCCATTATCGACAGACGGGCCCCGAAGCGTCTTCCGGTCTCAGAGGCCCGACTCCAGGACGGTCCCTGGTTGACTTCTGGTCCGCGAGGGTGACCCAGCTCCTCTGACTGCCCCGGGGACCCCTTGGTGGATGGATGGCCCACCCACATCCCCTCTGCTCCACTAGGAGGCGCCAGATGCACCGAGTCATTCCCTCCAAATGCCCGGTGAGTGCCTGAGTCCCGCGGAGAAACAGGACAAGTAGGACGGGCTGGTGACCCCGAGAACCGTGGGGTCCTTCCTGCCCCAGGCCAAGGCAGCGCACCATCGCCCCACTTTGAGGCCACCCCGCAGGGACCCAGCAGGTGGAATGGGGAGGGCAGCCTGCTCAGTTCAGTCCACCAGTTTTAACCTGAGTCTCACCCAAAAACACCTTCACCGAAGCACCTGGAATAACGTTTGACCAAATATTGGGCACCTGAGGCCCACCAAATGGACACAAAACCAGCCGACTCTGGCGTGAAGTACGACATCAACAGGCAGAGCGAGTGCACACGCAGACCCGTGAAGACCCAGTGCTCCTGTGGGCCGAGCGCGGTGAGGGGCCGCTGGGAGGCGCTGCGGCCCTGGGCTTGGGGCTCTGGGTGGCCTCACGTTTGACCGAGTTCAATAAAGACAGAATGTGCGTCTTTTCCCGCTTCACGCTCAGCCAACCCAGTGCCGGTCCATCAGCAAAAACAAGCCCATAAACGGCATGAATGGCTCCCAAGGAACAAAGCCACACAAAGCCGCCGGCACCTGCCCTGACTTGGCCACTGCAGCCCAGGCACCGGTGGGGGGATCTGGCTCCTAGGACCCCTTGTGCAGTCCCCGCCCAGACCCACCTCTGAAGGGACGCAGGTGACAGAGGTGATGGGACGGCACTTTCTATTCCTTTTTTAATATGTTTTTATTGATTTTAGAGAGAGAGAGAGGGAGGGAGAGAAACATCGATCAGCTGCCTCCCACACACGTCCCAACACAACCCGAGCAGGGATCGAGCCCACAGCCTGGGCATGTGCCCTGACCTGCGATTCAACCCTCGACCTCTCCCCGCCCAGGACGGCGCCCCACCAGCCGAGCCGCAGTGGCCAGGGCAGGACGGCACTTTCGAGCTTGATTGTAAAAGCACAGCGGGTCTCACCCTGGGTTCAGCGGCCCACGTGGGCAGCCAGGGGGACCCTCCCGCTGAGATGACACAGCTGTCCCACACGAGTGGGGCCTGTGGGCCTGTGCTGGCCTTCGCCTATGCCTGGTTGCCCAAGGGGTGAGCTCTGCCTTCCCATCCCAAGGGGGCCCGGAGCACGGCATGACCCAGGCCCAGCACCCGCCGCCACGGCTACTCAGGATCCCACAGGGCTGTCAGAGGACCCTCCAACTTTAGGCCCATTTAATACTGACTCCTGGGCACCTAGCCCTACCCTGGGCAAATATGTGTTTAGTCATGAAGGGCTCACCAGGACAAAGGCTTGTCACGCCACAGGGCCGACTGGCCCAGAAAGGGGGGTGCCGTGGGGCAAGGGAGGGGGTGCTGGAGGACTTCAAGTTTCCTGGAGACGCAAAGCGAAGGCGTCCACCCGGCAGGAGACCTCGGCGAGGGGTCCTTTGGACATCTGTTCCTCCTGTGCAGAGGGCGTGGCGAGCCCCGAGCTGGGAGCTGGGCCAGAGGTCTAGGATGTGTCCTGAGCTGGGTCTCTGTGTGCTGATGGAGTGATAACAGTGGCCACGGTGAAGGGACAAAAGCCCTGGGCACCTTCATTGGGCCTGGGCTGTGGTCTGGAAAGACGCCGGGGCAGGTCTCTGAGGCCCGAGACAGTGGGTGGCCTCTCGGCCAGGCTGGGCAAACCTCCCAGCCCGCCAACGCTCCATCCTGTGCTTGCCTGGCCTCGGGGCACAGAGTGGGCGACCTGCCCCAGAGCAGTGCAGGGAGGGGGTGGGGACCCCGCAAGCTTCTCCTGGTGGCACCAGCCCCAGGCCTTGCTCACTTTGGTGGGGTCATGGGGGCTGAGAGGCCAGGAAAGGGGTTGCCCTCACCACAGCAGCAGATGGGCCCCAGGCTGGCCAGTGCTTCTCCAGGACTCGTGCCTGGATTCCAGCAAGGACACCTCCTGCCCATCCCTGGGCTGCCCCAGGGCAGAGAGGCCTGGCGGAGGTCGTGTTCTGGGTCCAGCCCTGTCCTCTCGCTGACCCCCTGGGCATCTCCTGGGCAGGTGCAGGTTCTGAGAGCCAGAGCCGCCCGCCCGGTCAAGACTGAATTCCCTCTGCTCTCTGGGTGCTGGGCCTGCAGGCAGGATGCTTGGAGGCAACATGGAACCCTGGACCCTGATCCACACCCTGGAGAGCAGGCGTCCTGGGAGGGTCACTCACCTGCCAAAGGACAGTCCCCAAGTTCCCTGGTACAAATATAAAGCCCACAGCTGCCTGCAAGTCAGCAACGCCCATCGCAGACCCTAGAGCTGCCCCCATGCATAGGAAGCATGTCCAGCTGCAGGCAGTGTGTAAGGAGACAGGTGGGAAGGAAGTGGGGGCACAGCCTGGGAGGGACAGGGGAGCCTCCCTCAGCCACCCCGGAGTGCCAGCCCAGAAAGGGGGTCCCATGTCCCCAGGGGCAGCACCCAAGGGGCCAAGGATGTGGCCACCTGCAGAGCTCGGGGGCCTCGCCCTCCTTCCCTGCTCCTGGCTGACGTGCGATGAGCCACCAGCCTCCCTGTGGCTCACTGTGAAGTCAGTGTACGCAGGGACACAGGTGTGGTGGTCACCTGCCTGGGGCTCTGGATCTCTGACCCATCCCTGGAGTTCTAATCAGAAACAGGAGACAAGGTGGTCACCCGACACCCTGCTGTGGACAGATAGCAACATGCGACTACACAGCTGTCCGGGGAAGTAATAGCAGAGGGAGATGCTCAGAATACTGTCTCCAATGGGAAGAGTCTCACTGGTGTTTAACCAATATTTATGTTACATTTACTATATCGACATGTAGCAAAAACGCTGTAAGGAAATACATCCAAGTGTCAGCGGTGGTAAGATGGTAACATTAGAGGTGAGTCAGCGCTGGGGTCGCCCATCTTACCCATCCTACGGTGGGTGACCAGCGGTGACCAGTGGGTGACCTGTGGGTGGCCTGTGGATGGCCTGTGGGTGGCCTGTGGGTGACCAGCGGGTGGCCTGTGGGTGACCTGTGGGTGGCCTGTGGGTGACCAGCGGATGGCCTGTGGGTGACCAGCGGGTGGCCTGTGGGTGACCAGTGGTCCATCCCCCACCACCAGACTCACGGCCCAGTGGCCCTTTTTGAGAGCTGGTGCCCCGGCCGAGCCTGCGTGCCCTCCCCGGGGCTGGCCAGGCAGTGGCTCGAAGGAGAGCTCACGCTGGACGTTACCGGTCGTGCTGCTTGTGTTCCTGGAGGCAGCCAAGGGCTGAGAGCAGCTGACCCTTCCCAGCTGCGCCCTGCACCCCTGCAGCCTGACGGCCAGCGCAGGCGCCTTCCTGCTTGTCCGAGGGAGCTGGGCCTGCCACCGATGCCAGCCACGGGCTCCTGCAGCCACATCTCCCTTCCGAGGGAAAAGTCCCCGCGGCTCCCGTGCTGACCCGATGCTGTGCCACGGGCGCCCCGCCCCTTCTGGGGAGAAAGGACGGCGCTGGCCCTCAGTGCAGCCTTCCGAGGCTGCAGCAACTTGGCACATCTGAGTGGTGTCCTGGACGGGGCTTCATCTCCAGGGCAGCAGCTGCTCTGCTGGGACCCTCGCCCCTGCTTGGGCCCGGGACTCGAGGTGGCTGGCGCCCGGTGGAATGGCACCCGCCTGGCTCATTTGCCCCTGTGGCTGTCCCACGTCCCCTGAACTGTGGCAGCTGGGACCTGGCAGGCTTCTCCAGGCACCGCCCTCCCAAAGGGGCCAGAGCTGGACCTGGTTCTGCCACCTCCCTGGCTGTCTACGTGTGGAAGATACTCATGCACAAGCGTGCATACATGCGCACACACACACGTGCACACACACACGTGCGCAGTGCACACATGCACACGCTTACACACATGTGCACACGTGCACACACCTCAGCAGACCTGCTCGGAGGTCGTCCTCCCAGCTGCCCAACAGTGTTCCCACCGCCCCCACCCTGGTTTCCCTGAACTTCCCTGAGAGCTGAAAGAGCTTACAGTCCCGTTGCCTGTTCCACTCTGCAGGCGGAGCGGACGGTCCCAGAGCTGCAGGACAGGGAGCTGGGCGCGGGCCAGTTGTCACCAGGCGGAGACCAGTGGGAGGTGCCACTCTGACACCCACCCTGCTCTCAGGCCCCAAGGTAGGCCCGGTGCCCTGCCCTGCGGTCAAATCACTGGCCTCTGCCCTGGTGCTTGCTCAGGGGAGAGGCAGCACCTCTGACCCCTTGGCTGTCTGGGGACATCGTGTGGTTCCCGCACTTTGGCCTTCCTCACTGGCCTGGACCTGGTGGTCCCACCATCCTCAGACCTGCCGCTGGGCAGGATGCGTCCTCCGCTCCTGCCAGGGACGGGGCGTCTTGTCCCTGCAAATTCCCCCGTTTGGGGTTTTCCCAGCTTGATCCTTTGCCCCTCCTGGCCAGCAAGATCCCACGTGCTCTGGCCCTGCCCCACTGCCAGCCACCCCTGCCCCAGACATGATGCTCACCCAGCAGTGTGCCCCGCCATACCGTCCCCTCTGCACCTGCCCTGGCTCACCCCGTCCATCTGTCCACTCCCCCTGCTGCTGCCCTTGCCAGGGACACTTCCCCAAGCCCCCACCCCACCTCCTTTTCCCTGTCCACATGTTGCCCCCAGACTAAAGCCCCGCAGCTCCCAAACCCTGGTCTGTGCCTGGCACCAGCCGACTCGATCAGAGCTACACCGTCCCGGTGGTGGGTGCCTCTGCTCCTGTGCCCCTTGGGCTGTCTTGCCAATTGAGGGGGCATCAGCAGCGCCCCCTGAAGAGGATGCAGGTTGGTGTCGGCAGCAAGCGTGTGCCTGAGATGCACCCGTTTGGTCTGCGCTTCTCGCCTGCTTCTAACACTGGGGTGCTGGCACCCAGAGGCGTGAGAGCATCTACATAAACTTGACCTCGTTCTGCTTTAGCCTGTGGGTCTCTGGTTCTGGGTGCTGGACCCAGAGGGGGCCTTTCCGACGAGGGGCCCCCCAAGAGCCTGGGGGTGGAGCATGCCGGGCAGTCAGCTCTCTTCCCACCTCGTGTTCCCTGCTGCCAGCAGGAGGTGACTTGTCATCTGAAATGTCTGCCTTCCCTTCCCCGGGACCCTCCCTCCTGAGGACGGTGTGAGCACCTGCAGTGCCCTTAGAACTGACGTCTTACCGGCCAACACCGGCAGTCACTACGGGACTCCACCCACGGCTGCTCAAGTTCCGAGGGGATCTTGTGGCGCCCCGGGGTGTCCCCATCAGAGCCCTGGTGCGTGTGGGCCGTGGCACCCAGAATGAATGGTGCCAGGGTGGCTGGGGACATGGCTGCAGTGGGGGTGCCCCACAGAGCCGTGTGTGAAGCTGCAGGTCCCTGACACCTCAACAGGCCACCCCTCAGCCCGCGTGGGTCCCGGCCTTGCGGCCTGGCCGGGGTTCAGCTGCTTTTTCCTTTCTCTCACCTCCCTGTGAGCTGTGCCAGATGGCCGGCCCGCGTGGACCCTGTTCCCGAGGCTTATTCACAGCGCAGGCCTGGATGAGGGCCCTTCCCCAGCTCCGTTCTCCAGGGCCGTCCACGGAGCTGAGCCCACGCGTGGACAGCGCTGGGCTGGCAGCGGCCATGGTGAGCCTGGACCCTCTCCTCTGAGGTGGGTGGGGAGGCCATGTCCTGCGGTGGCCCAGCGCCCTCCCATGGGGTCTGCAGGCCGCGCCTGGGGCAGCATGAGCAGAGGACCCAGAGCCCAAGACACTGCACCTGCCCTGGCTCAGCCCTTTTAAAGGAAAGTCTTTTTAAAGGAAAACTGGTTTCAGGCTTTGCCTTTCGCAGCACACGGTGTGATGGTCACTCAGGGCGGGGCCGGCCAGGCTGTCCCCTCCCCGGGATGAGGACTGGACTATGGGCAGGAGTGAGGGGGTGGGTGTGCCGGCAGGTGTGTGGGCCGGGTGGGGGAGCTGCCCCCCCGCCCCGGGATGCTGCTGGCCTCCCTCCAGGGGGCGGTGAGACCCCACCTGGCCCCTGCGGCCACTTCTCCCTCCTCTCTTCCCTCTTTCCCCCCAAGGCAGCTTCCCGTGTCACTACTGACGTATTCACTTCTAACGGAAAGCTTTTGGCATTCCTGTGTGGACAGACA